AAATAAAATTTTTCTTTATTAAATAATTACTTTTGTTAAATTGCACTGTACTTTCTTAACTATTGAGGTTTTTAAAGATATAAGCTCATCCCGATGTTACACTCATCAAGACCTTTCATTTGAGTACTCATATCAATTTTTCATATATTTATATATATGTTATATATGAAAAATACATCAAAATACATGTGGGTACTCAAATGAAAGCTCTTAATGAATGTAACATCGGGATGAGCTTATATCTTTAAAAATGTCAATAATTAAGAAATGACCTTGTATCTTGTGAACTATCAACATTTTTAAAGATATAAGCTCATCCGGATGTTACACTCATCAAGACTTTTCATTTGAGTACCCACATCAATTTTTCATATATTTATATATGTTATATATGTATATATGAAAAATATATCAAAATGCATATGGGTACTCAAATGAAAGCTCTTGATAAGTGTAACATCGGAATGAGCTTATATCTTTAAAAACGTCAATAGTTAAAAAAGTACAGTGCAATTTAACAAAAGTCATTATTTAATAAAGCAAAATTTTATTTATTTATAGTTCACATAGTGACTGCAAAGTTGCTAGTAATTAATATTTAATTATCTATCTCCAGCCAAAAAACCTGCAATGGAACCATCAGGTACTTTAAATTTGAAGAAAGGCGACAAACTATCCATTACATGTCACAGTTATGAAGAAATGGCTTTTTACACTGTTTTGAACAACCCCGTAAGTTTCAATCTAAAAAAAAAAATAAAATATCAGTTAATTTCTAGCCACATTATTATTTATTTTCAAAAGAACGAACAATCCATGATGACTGAATCAGAGTCTGCGGTCTTCGAAGGCGCTCACACTCGAACTTTGGAGAAAAAGTCGGTAATTCCCGGTGACAGCGGGCGATACGGCTGCGCATATGCAAATGTTGAAGTTGATACAAGTCGATCCGATCAGCCAGATGTCAACTGGATTACCGTTAATGTTAAATAAGGACGTTCTTTAATGATATAAATTATCTACATTACATTTAGAAAAATAATTAAATAGATATAAATTAATAGTCTAAAAAAATTTATTTTAATTGCGTAAAATATTTGTTTTTAAATACAAACCTGTCACACTTACCGATAGGAATTTAGATATAGATACTGACAATTACAATCAACATTAACCAGAATTAACTTGGTTCCATGCCCATTTCAACCGTAGGCTTATCGTAATTATCAATCAATTATCAGTTTTGGCTGAGTCATTAGTTGAAATGAAGAATTTACTAACAATTTTCTTTTTTTTCAGCCTGAACCTGCAATAACAAACAAGTATGACACTTTTATTTATTTATTTATTTATTTATTTATTCAATTTAATCAACTCCAGAACAAGTGTTTCCTAAGAGCTGTAAAATACAGAATATTACATTAATAGTAAGTAATTTTATGACCATAAAAATAAAAAATTAATATTAGTTAGATGAAAATAATTATCCATAAAATATTTAAAAATAATTTAAACTTACTAAATTTATTTTATTTACAGACAAACTAACAGGAAGTTCTATAAATAATTTAATTGCTCTAACTATGAATACTCTTTCTTAAAAAAATATTGAGTATTTGTAGTGAGCACTGAAAACTGACCGCATTCCTACAATTCAAAATGAAGAAAATTCAAATAATTTATTTTTTACAGAATAATAATGTAAGAATACATTACTATTACCATAGCATACGTTCATTCATCAGAAGCAGATACCTTCCAGCTCCATAGACAGAGATGACGTAAAATCTCAACTCCTACTCCGTTATTTTTTAACAGGGTGGGGTCTACACTGCGAGTCTGACATTCTTTACTCCGCTCAGTGTTGAAAAAGACCGCGTAATACACAGCAGTAACTTAAAACTTCTATCGTCAGTGGACACATGTGTTTAAATATACCTCCTATACCTCATTAAAACTAAATTAACGTGAATATGTGATGATAAGAAGCTTTGTTGGTTGCTTTTACAAAAAAACATGGATCCAAAGTGTATACTTTTTTTACTTCTTAACACTTACTGTGAGTTGGTCTTTTGATTACTGGCTTTTAATGTTATCATTTATTATCTAACAACTATAAATAATAATAATTATTATTATTATTAATGTTATTTACATTAAAATTGGGAAACGCGACACACAGACATCACGTGGCAGACGTGTCAGTTGAATCACTATCACGATTAAACTTTTGCCTTCTGCCTATATATTTCTAGTACCTGCGCTGCATGATGTCTGATTGGTTTAATTCTACCGGTATGGCCTTGTTGAAAGTTGTAACACTCTCTACTTGGGATCTTGCATCAAATGCACTCGATACACTTCATTTGTACCGCAATTACAAAAAATAATTCAAATTTATTATTTCTTCCCGCGACCGGTTTCTGACTCATTTTGGTATTCCCTGTAATTTAAAATTTATTTTATGTAAAACAAACAAACAAAGACGCTCCTAAATTTACTTTTGGTCTATCTTCAAAAATCAATTGTTATTGTTAAAAAAAATGACGCGTAAAGCTTTTAGTGAACACGTTAATTGAGTTTCTCTAATTATGTTTCTTAATTGTCTGGTACTTAGTGACAGAGGGAATTTCTAGTAGTAAAAAAATCACTTAGCATCTTGTTGTGTATTTTTATATGTATACACTGATAGAAGGATTTATTAACTATTATTAATTTAATTTATTTGAAGACAATTATTTAATTTATTAAATTTTAATAAATATTTTTTAACATTCAATAAATATTTATTTGGGAGGAAAGTATATTTATTAATAGTTAATAAATATTTATTAACAGTTAACAAATATTTATTAACAGTTAATAAATATTTTGTTAAGTGAATTTGTTTGGCTTGCAATGTCATATGATATAAAGATTGCTTATAATCAAAAATCATCTTTATAAATTATTTGCATTAATTATATTACATTGTAATAACGTTTATTGTAAAATACCAAATTCTATCACAGCTCATAATTATCTTTTATATTTTATATTTTATATTTTGAAATATTAAAATATTTTAAATTCCCTTAAAAATTTTTTTTTGAAAATTACATTTTTTTTAATATTAAAAATTTTTTTTTTTGAAATTTTAATTTTTTATTTTAATTTGAATTTTATTGAAAATTTTGTTTTTTTTTTTGAAATTTCAAATTTCTTTTCAAAAACTTGACGTTGAAACTTGTTTTAGACAAATAAAAATTTAAATATATAATTTCAATTCGAATTTAATAATAACAGTTATTATTACTGATTACCATCA